AGTGAATTTTAAAAAGTTGGGGTTTTACATAAGTGATGCCATGGACACTAAATTTGTTCCTTAGATCCCAGAAGTCCATAGACCATCAAATGAGAAAGACTGGCTTAGAACATAAGAGTGGAATGATTTGAAGTTGCAATGTCAGTATCACAAAAAACAATAAATAACAGTTTTCTTCTTGAGAAGGTTTATGGAGACATAGTGGTGTTCATTTAATGATTTAGTTGGTCATGCACAATGGAGTCTATTATGCATGCTCATGAATTAAAAAATCAACTGTCATACCTGCTAGTCCAACAATGCTTGCATGCTGCTGCTGCCGCCAAAACAGACTAACCCCAGATGAGCTGATACTGATAGATTTGGTATTGGCAATGTGCTTAGATGTGTAAGACTGATTTAAACAATGCATAAACAGCCAATATCTGTTGTACAAAACTTGCACAAGACTAAAATGCTCCATTCCACTTTGTTTAAATGATTGCCTTCCATATAGTAACACACATTGTGTACACAACCATATCAGAGAATTAAAAGTATTTAATATTTATGATTGTAAATACAAGGCAAAATAAGTGGCTAAAGTATTATTTGACATGTAGAATATATGTCACAATGACTAGTAATGACATTTTGAAACGTGACTATTGCATGATTGACACACTGTTTGATTTATATCAAACAGTGTGTCAATTCTTTATCAACATATCAATTGAAAAGTTTACAGGAGTTTTCCACAAATGATGTCACACCTCATGGGGAGAGAGAGCAGTTCAGAATACGACACAATGTGACAAGGGAAAGAGAGGGAAATGATCCTTGTGATGTCATATTTCACATTTACCATTAATCAGTATCATACAGGCTTTTTGAATGCAATATGACATATTGCATTCAAAAAGCCTGTATGATACTGATTAATGATAAATGTATGATACTTAAAGTTCATTCTTTGAAAATTTAAACTTTTCACTTAAACTTTTATATAATAACATTAAAAGATAGAACAAAGTAAGTGTACATCAAACATTTACTTTATTGTGGCTGGTAACACATTACAGGTATACCTTGCCTTACTTCGGTAATTTGTTCCAGGAGAGACAACGTAAGTCAAATTTACTTGTCTCCAAATCTACTTGTCACTAGGCTAAACCATAAATTACCATTCCTGGTTCTGTATTTTATTTATTAATGCATTTCTAATAATATATGGTTAATAAGGATCTATTTTAAGCTTACAAACATATAAATTTTAGTTTTTAATATAGTACAGAAAAAAATAATCTAAATGTACGAATGCATGCACTTTAAATACAGTAAATATTTGTAAATTTATATATTTTAATATGATTTTATGTGCTTTAAATGCTTTTCTACTGATATTACGACTTCAATATTTGTGGCGGACAGACGTAAAGTCAAATAAAATGACTTAAACTTGATTTTTATTTTTCCATATACTTTTTTGACAAACGACGTATTATCGGGAACGACGTAACTCGAAACGACGTAAGTTGCGGTATACCTGTATAGTCTTTTTTGTTAATTTGAAAGAGTGTTGTTATGTGCTTTAAATGCTTTTCTACTGATATTACGACTTCAATATTTGTGGCGGACAGACATAAAGTCAAATAAAATGACTTATACTTTTTTGACAAACGACGTATTATCGGGAACGACGTAACTCAAAACAACGTAAGTTGCGGTATACCTGTATAGTCTTTTTTGTTAATTTGAAAGAGTGTTGTTATACATTTTTGTTGTTTAAGCACTATAAAGTGCAATTAATTGAACACTAGGCATCCTTTCATCCTTTTATTTGTTTATTTAATAATTTAAATAAACAAATAAAAAGATGAAAGGATGCCTAGTATTCGATTAATTGCATTTTATAGTGCTTAAGCAACAAAACATTATAGTCTGTTATAGCTACATTAAAATGAAGTGATTGGTAAAGTACAATAGACTTTGAAAAATTCAAAGTTTATTTTCAAAATATTACAAAAAAAAGGGAGGAAAACGGAAATATAGAGACGTGACAGACTATAACATTTTCTAAATTTGGAGATTGCATTGTCTGTCATGGATTGGAGAGAAAACTTTTGAATCTATTTGGAGTGCTTTATTTGGGAATATAATTCAGAAGGTGCTGAGTGGATGGATTTTGATGACAGACATGATAGGATAAGGCATTCCCTTGGATACACATACCTCCAACATCCCATTGTGTCAATTGAAGAACACATTACATGGGAGTTAGCAAAGTATATGAAAATAAAATTTTGATTAATGTAATGCCATTGTTGTATAATATTTTATTTTAATAAAAGCATAAATAAGTCATTTTATACTAATATCTGTAATTACATAATCCCATTACATAGTTGATGCAGTGCACAGTATTTGTCATAATGTAAATATGAATGATATAGGAGAGAGGAGGTTAAAAACGTGGAATTTTAGCATATTATATTATTATTTATGGATGGCTCCAAATCAAAAATATGAAAATATAGAATTGTAAATATTAAAATTATTTAAAAAAGCATTTTCTTCATTTTTGACACTCTCTTCACACTATGTACACTAAGAATGTCTTTTTTCATTTCCATCATGGGTTTGCCCAGGTCCAAATTGGGATGGCAGAGTGGTGAGGAATATACCTGACATATCCAGGACAGATCACTCTAAAAATTCCTGAGACTGCTCGCCCAAATTCAATCTTGAGTCACTACAGTAGTATCTGGGTCATCTCTCCATCAATAAAAAAAAAAAGATTAAGAGAGGAATGTTTACAAATACTCTTGACTCAATTAGGTAAACTGTTTTGTAGAAATAATGAAAATTTATTTAAAATAGGGTTAAATAATTACTTTTCTTCAATTACTGTATATTAAATATTCTTTTTTATACAGTACAGAAAATAAAATAAAAGTTTGGAGATCAATTTTTCAGAAATTTGTTTATTTTTAAAAGACTTCTTACAGGATATATATAAGATCTTTTCAAATGCTCATGTTCACAAACTTTCAGTCACTTTCAGACTGCATGAAAATAATTTCAAATCAGTCCAGTTCCAGTATACTTAATGTAAATGTTTAAACAGCCAATAATCTGGGTTCACATGCAAAACAATGTTGACTGCTTACATTTCATCTAAATCAGGCTTTAAAATGATTCCAATTTTTTTTCATGTGTTGGTGGAGGTTGAAAAAAAAAATTAACCCTCATATAACTTGCTTGCTCATGGTCTTAATTAATGTGATTGCTGAAAATATCTGGTAATGCTGATATATTCATCTTTAACATAAAAAGTGTTTACAAACTATGCAAGAAGAATTGTTATTTAAGGAATTAAATCTAAATTTAGCTTTACCTCCAGAGCCAGTAATTATGCATTGGTGAACTGTTAGGGTATTAGGGTGTAAAGATCTCTAATCACAAAATTCCCATTTAATCTCTCACAAAGAACTACAAGTTGGTTGATTATAATGGTTTGGACTGGGCTCTCTGGTCACGTCCTGCTGGTTCAACTGACCAACTGACCTGAACGTAAGACATCCCTGAATCTCGCGCCCTCACATAGGTGTAACCTGATCAGACCTCTGGTAATTAGGTCATGCAAAAACAATCAACCCAACATGTACCTGGCTTAAAAGTGTAGCTTATTGTTTAGATAATTACAAAGCACTAGTATGATATCTAGATTATGATGAAAAGCAACTATCGTGTTCATAATTTGGAAGAGCTTACTTCAAAACCTTAAGTACAGAATGAAATGTTGGTTATAATTCTACATAAACCAAGGATTGTCTAAACATTTTAACTAAAAAAGACTTTAGAAACAAGTTACTCTTTTTTTCTTTTTAATGTAAATTTTTCTCTAGTCACCAGATTTCCACTAGAGGACTCTAGTATCAAATTAATCATCATTTATAAGTACACTTGATTTCTACTGTCAAGACATTTAGCACTATTTTAAGCTGTTTGGTGGCATTGGATCCTACAATAAAGGTTGGCATCTGTGTACAGTTTTATTATATATATATATTGTTTTTAATGGTATCATTGATCTTTTTTTAATGAATTTAAAATTTTTAATTTAAAGATTTTAGTATTCATCTTCAAGTGATCTGCTATCAGTCCTTGACTGAAATTAAAAAGGATTTAAAAATGACTGCAACTTCTCTGTATGCTCTTTATTACTTGTAGTGTTAATTATTTCAACTCATTTTGCATTTCTTATTAATGCAATAACTAAATTTGAGTGAGAAGCTATCACTATCAGAGGCAATGAAAATAATTAGAGACATTAACCAAAAGCTCTCAGCAGTTCTTCAAAACCGTAGAAAGGTTAATTAGAAATTTAAATCAATTATGGAAAGCAATCATGGTTTAAAAGAGCTTAAAGACATGGTTGAAATTTTGAGTGAAAAATCAAATTCATTTGATTTTTCACTCAACAGCATATTTCACTGAAATATGCTGTAGTTATGAGTGTCAGCACTGAGCAGTCATTTAGTCAGTCTATTGCAATAACAGGGAAAGCTTTTCAACTGCAAACTTGTCTTGTTATGCTGTAATTTGTTCTAATTTACAAAGAAATTTGTAACACAACTATTGTTTGCCTGAAAAGAACTGTAATAAATAATTTTTAAATGCATAGGTTTTGGTCTTTTTAAAGCAAATAAGTTATTATTTTAATATTTTAGCTGAATTTCACATCATAATTTCCAATCCATATTTATTACAGATAACATAACATACACGTATTATAAAGTGCAGTGTATAATTCAATCAAAAAATTTTTAACTCAAAATTCTGGTTTAGGCTATATTTTTATTTTTTGTAAATCAACCTCTAAACATACAGTAGGCTAGAAATAAAATGTGAATATGGTATTTCTATCACATTTTGGAGACTTTTTTAGGTTTAAAAAAAGCAACTTACTACACTGCAATTTACAGTAAATAAAATTTAAACACAATAAAAAAAATTACCTGAATGTTCTGATATACAAGATCCATTGTTAGTAGAAATACCAGTGGAAAGAATGTCTGCAAAACTTTTTGAAGCATTACTATCCGGCCTGCAATTGGATTCTAATTTTTGATGGACAATGTGATTGTTACTTTGTATTAAACTTCCATCATAACTACAGTTGTTGTTTTTTATCATTGAAGACTCATTATCAGAAAACCATGACTTTACAGGTACCTTCAAATCTGAATTTACTTTGTTGCTGGATTCTGTAAATGTTTTGAAGACTTTACAAGGTGGAGGATTTTCAGAAGAATTATTAGAATCATTAGTATATTGATTTTCAGATAAACCATTTATAGATGGACTAGAATTTGATTGTGGTGAAGTTCTAACATCGAACTGATTTATAGAGTATAACTGATAACAGTCAATAGGTGATAACGATGATTTTATTTTAGTATGTTGTTTTGAACACTGATTTTCATATTCATCACTTAAAGAACTGTCATTATCATCATTGCTGCTACATTCTGAATGTGCATAATTTTTCTTTTCTGAATGAAAGAACTGTGTTTTGTGAGAAGCAGTACTTTTTGTATTATCTGTTCTGTTTGTGATTCTATAACCATTTATAGTTCTACTACTTAAATCATATGCACAATTTGAAACTATATTAGACTGTTTCTTACAATCATTATTACATATACTTGAAAGATGTCCTGATTTTATTCCATTTGTAGTCATTCCAAGATAACAATAGGATCTATTATTATTAACTGAAAGACTTTTCTTTTGAGTTAAATTTAACTGGCTTTCCTGTCTTTTATCTTCTGTAACAACTGGCATTTTTTCTAAAGTTACCATGTGATTATTCTGTTCCTTTTCACTTTTTCCATTTGATTCAATCATGCCTGATGTTTGAACAGAACAGATTGATTCATACATAGAGTGCACTGTAGTATTGTGAATATGTGGAGTGAAGCGTTCAATAAATTTCTTTAATTCTTCTTCACCTTCTTCATCACTAAAAAAAGAAGGTTTTGTAAAATAATTTTAGCTATGAAGAAATTAATTTTATTTTTGATTACTGTAATTAAACTATTTATTTTATTCTGTACACATAAACTAAAAAGATGAGAATAATATATAGATTAATTAAATAAAATTAGCATATAAATAAAGCATTGTCAATATCAAATTTCTGAATATAAATAAAATAGTTATTCCAATCATTAAATTTAATTCTTTCTTTTTCATAAGCATTATATTAGTAATAACTTCTCCAATAACATTAATTTTTCAAAATTCAATTTTTTTTCAATATTTGAGAAAATCATTTGTATTGTTATAATGAAAATTAAAATATCATGATAAATGAATTAATCAATATCTGAAAAAACTCTCAAAAATTTTTCAAATATTAAACACTATATTCATTACAAGACCTACTTATTGTTCTTTGTCAAACACACTTTTATTATCTTTCAGTAAATTCCATGATGCTGACTGCTGAAACCTTGCTTTGAATTTCTTATTCAAAAACAATAAATATTTTAAATACTATTACTATTGTAACTTGAGAAACACTAAATTTATGTAAAACATCACACTCCAGCAGTAAAGCTCAATATTTACACTGTAGAAGAAATGTTTTGATGGTCTTAATTTCATTTTTAATATGGTGATAACATATTTTTATAAAGTGGATGCATCATAATATAGTTATTATCTATATTTATTTTCTCACTAGAAAATTTAGTTCCAAGAATATGAGTTTGCTTTGATACCTGTGTACAAAAAGTACAACAGCTGTAAAATGTGGAAAAATTGTAAGTTAATTTTTAAAAAATTATAAGTTTTCTCTTATAATTTTTCAGCATATTCTTTGATTCATGCATAAAAAGAGCTAAATTAGTAAATATGTCTACTATAAATTATATTAATTTAATAATAATAACAAGTTATAGTACAGTGAACAGGTTAAATCTAATTATTATATGTTATAAGGTTTAATTATATTTTAATCAATTCAGTTTTTTTAATAATGATCTGATAAAATTAATTAATTAATTAATTATCTGATGAAATACTACATAAATATATAATGTAATTTTTATTACAAATAATTTTGCCATGTAAGCAAACTCATAAATATTTAATAATTAAATTTCAGTCAAGCTATTAAATTTATATTAAAATTAATTACATTCTAATTTTTTTTTATAACTTTTTAATAATTTTTAATTACTTTTCATTCAGAGTACTTCTGATAATACAGTAGAGCGTCGTTTATCCGAATCAATTGGGGACTGGGGTTGTTCAGATAACTTATTTTTCGGATAACCGATTATGTACGAAAAAATATATTAACCTATCCCATGTTGAAATTTTTCTCCGTTGCGTGTCACTTTGCATTGAATTTTCGTCGATGTTAAGCCTAACGTAAACTTTTTAAAATAATAATCGTGGCTATTGTATCGTGGCTATTGTATCGTTAAAAATTATTTCTTTATGTTTTACAAACAAAATAAATACATAGAAAAATATAAAACAAACAAAAATTATACTTTAGGCCGACTGGAATTCTTTCGGATAACCGGCGTTTCAGATAACCGACTTTCGGATAAACGACGCTCTACTGTAATTTATTAGGATAACTCTGACTATTTGGCATTCTAATAATTAGAGAATTATCTATAACATTTGTTTTAATTGATTAATGCACCATAATTAAATATTTCATCAATAATTTATAACTGACTTAAAACTGAAATTTTTATAAATAATTTTGCTAAATATTTTAATTAATACCTGAGAAGTTTGTTAACACAGACAAAATGATCAATTTTTGATGATGATTTATCATATTGCAGATATCCTGAACTCTTCAAATAAACTCTTCCTTGGTTAGAAGTTCTTAATCGGTATACTATTAAGCCTCTTCCAACATTATTGGCAAACACTAAAAATAAAATAAAAAAGCTAATTTAATGTACAGTTTAAACTTATTTCATATTCCTTTATTGTTATTAATTATTTCTATATTTTTCAAACAACAAAAATTAATAAACCATAACTTTACTCAAATTATTGATAAAATTTTATACCATATATTTCAACAAAATAAATACTTATGCAGTTCCAATTATTATTATTAATTGAAAGTAATAGAGAGAGCATTTTATGTTCCAATTTTTCATTGAACTGGTAAATTACGGTAGTTCCTCAATTAAATCCCAGGATTCAAACATGTCCCAGGGAATGAAGATGATGTTAAAAATAAACCACAGTTTGAAAAGCATAGAAAACATGTTGAGGAATTGCCTTGTATAAGATAATGTAATTTAGAGTGACAGGTATTTTTTTGTTTTACTCTTTCTAGCTTATGAGCAATAAGACCTCTTTTCAAATCCATTGCAGGTTTGGCCAAACCCATGATGAGGCAATTGGGTAATGAGAAATATAGCCCCAACATATCCAGGACAGACCACTCCCAAAAAATTCCTGGGGATTTTTTTTTTATTTTCTATGATTGTCTGAAGAGTATTTGTAGTAAGGTTCCTGAATGTGTAGAAGTTTTGACTGTGTTCAAGCTTTTGATGTATTACATTTGCTATTTGATTATGCCAACGTAAATAGTCAGTTTATGTTAAAAGCTTGCAACCTGAAGTGATGTACAGTATTGTACAGTCTTATATATGATGTAACATTTTTTACAGGTGTCACCTTTGAGTGTTGTGTCTTTTAAGATGTATTTTCTATAATTTCTTGTATTTAGGACCTGGTCTTGTATGGCAATCATAAACCTTTCTGTCTCTCCAAAGAGTTTTTATTAATATTATGTTGGGTTTAGTGGGTTCTACTCAGTTTACACCGGTGGCTGTGTACTATGCCGGACAAGAGTCAAGGCATAGTAACCATAACAAAAAAAAAAAAAAATTAAATAACTGTGTCAGTGTGTGTGTGTCTGTATTCAAGAATTTCCTAACAATAGGACATGTATTCAATATAGTTGCCTTCTGTAGTATGATGTATTTGTTTCTATTCTATTGTAATGTTTCCAGGCTTTTGTGTAGTGTGTATGGTATGATACCTGTAAAGAGAGAACAGTAGGTACTAGGGTTTCTCATTTCCCAGTCTTTTGTTTGTCCCGGGATAAAAGTGAATGGTTTTCCAGGATCCTGGAATAGAATTAATTATTTTTAAGTTATACAAAATATCTTGAAATCAAATGATATAATTATTTTTCATTTTTTAAAGGAATTTAATACATTCTGCAACTTCCAAAATCAAATTAATAATGCTGTGTAAGAAATACATTAAAAATTATGTTTAAGATATACAAAATATCTTGAAATCAAATGATATAATTATTTTTCATTTTTTAAAGTAATTTAATACATTCTGCAACTTCCAAAATCATATTAAAACTCAGATCAAAATTCTAACTTAAAGAGTAATTTTTGTTTTTTTTTAAATAAAACATAATACAAAATATTATTGTAATTTTTATAATAAGATTTTAAAAAGCAAAGATGGTCAATACTCCAATCACTCGATCCAGTTCTTATTTAACTAATGAAAAGTCCTGCTATTGAGAATGCCCTTTCTGATTCAATTCATGTGGGTGGAATCGTCTTTAATGCATTTAAGAGAGACAGATGTTATGTGTTTTTTCACCTGTAGTCTGGAAAATTTCTAGTTTGTTTTTGAGATTGTAGTACTTCTTTTGCTCTCTAGTATTCTTGATTTGTCTACCTTGGCTGCTTTAATAGAAACATCAAGCTTATAGCCTGATAATTTGGTAGTTCGTTTATCTTTCATAATCAGGTTTATGAAGAAAAACTTCATACTTGCAGACTTCGTACTCATTTGTATCCTTGCCCAATTTGCACAGCCTGGCGTTACACAGTTATTGAAGCTACTGGACATGGTTAAAAATCAAGCATAAATACAATTATTCCAGATATTACAGGTTCTGACAAGTAAAGAATTTTCAGTCCTGCCACAAATAAGCTACATATTGATTATTGACCATTTGTGACATGCTATAATGAGCTAAAATTTAAAAACCTAATAAGTAGATTTAAAATTAATAAATACAAATGACAGTTTATGAGTTAATTATACTTTCTATTTACAAAATTTTCTCAATCTTAATACAAAATAAGAAAAAAGTGAAGTTTTAAGAAATTTGTGGGATTTCTCGGGTTAAAAAAAACAAACAGGATTCCTGGGATTCCATTTGAGAAACCCTAGTAGGTACAATAAACACTCTATCCATCCTCCACTGATGCCTTATTTCCTGGGTGAGTTCTGTGTACTTTCTGATTTTTTCAGTGCATGTGTTTTTTTTACATTATGAGTGTTTGGAATGGATATGTCTATAATGTATGTAATTTTATTGTGCTGTCAATGAGTGTGATGTCTGGTCTGTTGTGTTAAATTGTTTTATCTGTGAATATTAGCTGCTATAAGCTAAGCAGCTTTTGCATGTATTCATGTAGAATATTTAACAGTAAATTTTAATTGTTAATGATTTCTTTTAAACTCCTCTTTTTCCCTGATAAATAAAAGTATACATTCTAATTTTAAACCAAAATACAGTAAGAAATATTTAGGATCAAGTACCAAAGGTGTCAGATGGCTTAAATACACACTAAACACATTTTTCCTAAATATTCTGTGCTGAAATAGAAGTGCATCATATATTCCACAAAATACAGCAAGTAGAAAAATTATAGTTTAACCTGTCATTTAACTGTTTACATTACAATAAAATACATATTTCAATTAAATTAACTTTTAAATAATATAATTTAGTCATAAATGATACAATACAAATTGAATTCAAATATAAAAAGAACACCATCAACACTCATCTTCAAGTTCAAACATATGAAATAGACTTAACATGCAAATGTTCTATTTTCACACACTATCAGATGGAATGTCTTCACACAAACACATGAAATAGATTTCTGACAAATAAATGTTTATTTGTCAGAAATTTTATTGCTGGATAAAGTAATGATGATTTTTGTTGTTGTTCTTTTTATATAATTTTATCATCTACATAGTTTCTATACACTTTACCTAATGTATTTATCTATCTATCTATTGTATAGTTTTTCATTAATAATTCCTTTTTCCTGAAACAATACATCATACATTTAAAGTTTTATATTTATATATAATACGAAACACTCTTTGCCTTTAGTATGAATAAATTCTAATATCAATAAAATCAAATTATTAGTTAAATATATTCTTCCAGAACAAAAAAATTTCTTAAATATTAACACAATACTATTACATATTGAATACATATTAGACTTAAGTTTATAAAATAAGCTTAAATAAATATTAATTTAATAAGTATCCAAGAACAAAATATGAGTGAGTATAGTATATCAATAGACATATATTATTTAATTATATATTGTACACAGTTATACACATAAGTACTCAATAGTTGGATATTATAAAAAGTAAAATAATTATTTACTTAGTTTATGAGCAAAAAGTGCAACAGGAATGTCATCAGCAATAATATAATGATAAGCTGATCTACCGAATACTTCATGGGGAAGATGACCAGTAATTGTCGAGAGCCTAAAAAAGAATATGACAAAAAATTACATCTAAGTCAAAAACATTTCAAAAATTTTAAAATTATTTACATTCATAATTGAATAACCAAATAGAAATGAATAATAATTTTTTCTTTACAAGATAAACGAGAAAGTTTCTTTATATCTTATACAGATTTTATTTTTTATATATACATAATATTATATTTCAGAATGTAAATACAGTAGAGCATCAATTATCCGACTCAATTGGGGACTTGGGTTGGTCGGATAACTGAAAAAATCGAATAACCGAAAAGAATGAAAAAAATACATTATTAGTATAGTATATTAGTATATCCCATGTAATTAGTATATTAGTATATCGCTATTAAGCTACTTTGCGTTGAATTTTCATCCATGTTAAGTCTAACAAAAATTTTTAAAAATAATCATCTCTATTGTATCGTTAAAAATTATTTTATTGCTCACAAAACAAACAATCACTCATAATTAGAAAATTAAGTCTCGTTTAAATACTGGCCTCCCTTTCATGGTTGAGCCAGTGTTGCCAGCTAAAACACACAAAAATTAACAAAAATAATATTAAAGTAGCCAAGACATAGCCAAATATTGTAGCGCCACATCACTAGCGGACATTTGAAATTTGCCGATTAGAACAATAGGTTAACCGATGTGACGGTTAATCGGGGGTCGGATAATCGATGCTCTACTGTATGTAAATCTATTAAAAATAAATATCATACACCAAACTTTTGAAAAATCTTATTACATACCATATATAATTACAATAATTATTATGAAAAATGACTTTTCTTACATATATTATATGTTCAACTGTAAAAATGATTGGAATTATGTAAATATTATGACTAACTAATTTTGATGAGATTCCAAACATGTACTTTTCTAATTAAAGCACTGAAGGCTGATAATTTACAAGAAAGGAATCATTTGACAGAGATGGTGCACATAAGAATGTAACAGTTAGTTTTCTGGGAACATTAGTCTGTATTTTTTTTTTTCATTAATTCAAATTCTACATCTAAGTTCTGTGCTCTCCTATTATCTTCTTTCTCTAATTCTAAAAAATGTCAAAAGGGGGTTAGGGTTGACAAAACATGGGAACTGGTTCACATCTAGTTTTATTTTCCACATTATTAAAGTATTATCAACATATTTAAGAAAATCTAATGTATCTAAGTACTAAAAATGACTTCACTAAAATTTTTATAATTAAAATAAAACTGTTTTTCTATAATTTGTCAATTCAAAGACCAGAGAGGTTATCCTTTTTTCTTCTTTTTTTTGGAATTATAGCAATAAGATAATAGGAAAGCATACTGTGAGAATCTGGAGACATAGAACAAGAGTCTTTCCTTAGATTTGAAAGATTTCTTTAGACTTTATTTAATTATTTGTGGAATTAAATAATTATTTTTTTGGGTAAAATGAAACATACAAATTTTACACTTTTGTGGAAAATTGATAGAAAAAGGGAAATAAAACTTTCCTTCCAGTTTATCAACTTCCTGTGGTGAGATCTTATTGCACATGTTGATGAACATGTGCTGGTTTGAGTCATCCCTAACATCTCATCACATGTATAACAAATTAACACTCGAAATTTTTAGATAAAAAGGCTAAACAACCCATTTTCAGGGCACTCTCACCTCGAAGTTCCCTTCATCTAGTCCACCCTCATCAGCTCTCCTCGTCTCCAGTTTTTCCTCTCTCTCCACTGAACAAGAAATCAGTGAAGCTTCTCAATCTTTGTATCGACGATATAAATTAGCCTGTGCCTGAAGACACCATCATATTATCACGAGGTATTATGCACAAAATAATGTAAACTCTCTCTCTCTTGATCTACTAGAGGTATAAGTAGCTAGATATTCAATAGAATTTGATTGATATCTGAGTCAGAGAATCTGACAGTATGTTACATTTATCTATATGTAATCCTTGATTCCTTTATACTATTAAACTATTTGTTTTTATTTAATGGGTTTTGAGCTAGCTTCTTCTGATGGCTGATCACCCTTATCAACAAGTTTACGACCCTTCCCATTCAAACATATAGTTATACTTATTCCCAAACCACAACTTACAACACAAAATTTATTTTAACTGGTGTCATAAGAAAATAGCCAGTAAGATCCTATGATCTTGAGGCAGATTATAATAGACCCATCCACCAACAAAGTGAGCAGGCCTAACGGTCCTGACTTCACAATAACTTATTGGCTCTAATGACTCTTCACTTATTGGCTCTAATCACCTATTGGTGATTAGAGCCAATAAAACTCTAACCTGCAGATTCTCACAATACTATTTAGATACAGAATTTAAATTAAAAAAAGGAGAAATACAGATTAATTATATAGAAAATGATCCTTTCACTTAATATCAACATTCAGGTCTTTGATTGAAAGAGAATACCAGTGTTCATTGTTTGAACATAAACAAACACTAAAAATCTTGAAACAAAAATAACATTATACAGCTCAAGAAGTTAAAATGCACTTTATTCCTATTAAATATTTTTTGACATACAAAATATCTCAATCAGATTGAATATTCACAATAAATAGATTTGAAAATAAAACATAATAAATTTGAACAATTTGTAAATGGTAAAGTTTTAAAAAGTTTCTTTTATTTTGTTTTTATTTTATTTAAAAATTTTTGTTAAAAATCAAAATGTTCCAATTATAATAAATTAACAAAACAATACTTTGGCTGAATTGAATCTCATCAGAAAATGGCAGATAATGGATACAAGAATAAAACCAACTATTAGAAATAAAATTGCTTTGACTCAGTTGACAATTCAGGATTTACAGAATTTAAAAATAAAAACAACACATCTGTGCTAGTCTTTGTATCGCAACTCAACAATAAAGTATAGAAGGTGTCTGAGAGACTTGACCATATAGATAGAGCACTGGCCATGTTTGGGCACTATCATGGATTTATAAGCTACTTAAAACAAAATGTACCCGGGGTGTTTGCAATACACTGTGTCATCCATCAAAACATTTAGTCGCTAAAAATCTGAGTGGAGATTGTAGCTTCAATTTATCATTAATATAGTAAACAAAATTCGAAGTAACGTGTTGAATACTAAGTTATTTCTGCACTGTGTGAAGAAAATGATGAGAACTTTCATTGATTGCTCCTTCACACTGAAGTATGCTGGCTGTCAAAAGGCTTATGTTTGACAAGATTTTTTTCACTGTTTGAGAAAGTTTTAGAGTTTTTGGATGATAAAGATCCAATTTTAAAAGAAAATTTAATTAAGTGAAAACCAGACATTGCTTATTTAACAGATTTTTTCACTAAATTTAATGAGGTTAACTTGCAGTTACAAGGTGACAGTCTAAATTTGATAAAAACAAAGTCCATCATTTCAACTTTTCTTGTTAGAATTAAACTAATGAAGCAAAATATTGGACAGTGAGAATTTTCCCAGGTTCCAAATTTGTCACAGACAAACTACCAGGATGATGATGTTTCAACCTATGTTCAACATTTAAATATGCTTCACACAGACTTTGAAACTAGGTTTGAGAATGTTTTGACTATGGAAATACCACAGTGGATTATTGATCCATACAGTGACATTGAAGAAACGGATGTCATATTACAAGAAGAATTAATCGGAATAAGCACAATAACAAAGAACTTAAAGTACAGTTCAGAAAGGGATATCAGCAATTTTGGCTTCAGAGAGACATACCTGAGATGGTGCCCACCATATATAATATATATATATATATATATTTTTTTTTTACCTCCCTTTGTGAAAGCTTAAATGTGGTGTTTCTTTCATACTAAAATATTATTATTTATGTGTATTATTAGTAATGTTATGTCAATGTAATTATTCACGTGTTATAATATTTGTCTGTATTTTCTTTTTCTAATTTGTATTTTGGAATGTAACATAAGGGGGTGCTAGGGGCAAATTGTATATAAGGAATGTAAAAGGAGCATGGGATACCTTTTTCTGTTCAAAGACTTGGCGGAATGAGGGAGAAAACGACGGACCAAGTGAAAAAAGGAAGAGAAAGTTGAGACCTTGGACTAAAGACAACCAGTCTTATTGTATGTATAGTTCCCCTACGACCCCATTCTGGCTGTATTCCTAGTTTTAATATATGATTATCTTTGTTCTTAGTGTCGTCTGTTTTCTCTTTGTTTGTCCAAAACACGACCCCCCACATACCTATTACTTATCCTGCATTATGGACTATTGCAAGAAAGTTTGATAGCTTTTCCATCTTCATACCTTATGGAAAGGGGTTTCAGTGCAATTGCCAATCTTCTTACAAAGAAAAAAAAAATTAGATTGAGGAAATTTAAGATTACAACTCACTAAATTGAAGCCAAATATTGAAAATTTGCTATTAAAGCATCAGGCTCATCCCTCCCACTAAAAACATTTACTTTTTTGTGTAGTTATTTTATGACAAATGTCTTTTAACTGTAACACTGTGTTTAGTAATAACTGTCCACAAAAAACCTTTATTAGTATTGTGTTCATTACAATATCCACTAACGTTTTCGACCTCCACCGAGGTCTTCTTCAGGTGCTGACTAAGTGTTGTCTTCCCTTGACCGTTAAAACGATGTCATCCAAGATGTAAATATTGCACGTATCATGTTTCACCCCTCTGCTTGTCCCCATTTGAATTCCTTGAATAGGTATCTCCATGCCTGTGCGATTGTTTCTCCATCTTTAAAGTTGATACAGGTGCCCCCAACATTGGCTTTGTAGATCTTCCAGGCTTCCAGGTGATGGATGTGATCAATTAAAAATTCCTGTCTGATTAATTTAGTGTTTGGGAAGTCTGCCCGAATTTCTGGGCCACTAACGTACGCTATTAAGGCGGTGGTGTGCCACCTCCTTAACGGCGTACATTAGCAACCTGGAGGCCTAAGAGATCTACAAAACCAATGTTGGGGGCACCTGTATCAACTTTAAAGACTGAGAAATGATCACGCAGGCATGGAGATACTTATTTGAGGAATTTGAATGGGAACAAGCGGAGGGGTGAAACGTGATATGCTCAATATTTACATCTCAGATGACATCATTCTAACGGTCAAGAGGAGACAATGCTTAGTCAGCATCTGAAGAAGACCTCGGTGGAGGTCAAAAACGTTAGTGGATATTGTAATGAACACAACACTGATAATGGTTTTTTATGGCCAGTTATTAGTTATTTTATGTTATAATTTTACTAGATTTGCATTTTGTGTTGTTTTAAATAATAAATGTATAAAACTTAACATATTTTTTTTTTTTAACTTTTTCACTCTACAGTTAAACCTTATCAAAGTGAGTAGCACTGTGTCAGCTGTCAAAAACACATTTGAAATATTAGAAATGCGGAACTCTACCCAAAACAGAAAAAATTGGCATGTGGTCTATGAGACAAAAAAGTTTGGGAACCTCTGGTCTAGAGCTACCAGCTTTAATTTAAAAAAAAAAAAAAATGGCGAGTTTTGAGATTTATGCGCATGATAGTAATGATAGTCCATGGGAAGAGAAATAAGTCCGACATTAAAGCTGGTAGGGTTTTATGTGCAATACGGATAAAATTATGGATATGCAATTTTGTTTCTCCTACCATAGATATGTTTATGAATTTGCATTGGCTTAATGAGAAAGGATAGTGAGAATTTTCCTGAATTTACAGACTAGTGGATATTTACTGAAAATTTTAGTTTTTGTTAATTTTGTTCAAAAATCTCAATTAAAATATATACGGTAATTATTGTAATATAAACTGTAGTCAGATAGCAAGGCATTACTATGACATAGATGTAAAATCAATGCATCTCATATACTACATTTTATGAATAATCAAAATGTAGTTTAGTAGTAAAATGTAGTTAACTCTCCTAGACTCCTCCTATTTGAAATAAACCAAAACCATGAAAAAATTAGACAGTTTATGCTAACAGAAAATTCTAAACTTTATCATAACCTGTCAAAATCAACACATTGACATTCTGAGATTTTGAATTGAAATACGCTACTAAAAGTGGCTAAAAATGTCTGCTTATTTTAAAATTATCTTCTGGCCCATTAAAAGGTTTGATAAATATATAAGAATAAGTATGCTTTTGCATTTTCTGTAAACAAAAAATTCTACCATTCTATGCTAATGCTAATTAGAAACAAAGAAATAATGAAAAGCTGTAATATGATGGTGTTTTACAATATTACTTCTCTGTTTTCCTTTAACTTTACACAGAAATGTCTGGGAATAACATAGATGACTAAAAATAAATGAAAGTGAATGGAGACTTTCTTTTTTCAATAACTAAACAAGCAATTCCATTGCAAATAACTGCACTGCATACTTCCAAAGATTAAAAATTAAAAGCAAAATGCTTTTACATTGTTTCTAAAGAAAAATTGAAAAAACAGCAGAATAAAATTTCAACTATTGATTAAATATTCATAAAAAAAAACCAATGTGCAAGTTTAGAATTTCATATAGAATAATTTGTTAAGTTAGAAACTAAAGTAAAAAGTGTATAAATAGCAAAAGAGAATTTTTATTTATTAGTTATATTTAGAGTAAAATTTCGAATCTGAATAAACTGTTGGACCTTAAGAGCTGTAAACCGTATCCATAGGAGCAAAAAAGTCAAAGAAACCTTACCCTATATGTGATCCTTTGTGAGATGTAGCCCCCTGAAATCAGCCTACTTTCAGAGTGCAATTGGGAGCCATGCTGTGTGCTCCACTAAGATATTGCATTTAATTATTTATCCCAAATAACTTTTGAATTTAATGGTTATATCAACTAATTTTTCTATAAATTTATTAATAATTTACCTGTGATCTGCAAATATGATTGTTCCATCTAAGCTATGACGTGTGACGTATTCATCTTCAATAGCATCATTGAGTAATAATTCATTGCAAGGTCTTGTATGAACTACTCTAACAAATGCTTTGAATAAACAGTTCATTTGATTCACTGAAATTTAAAATAACAATAAAAAATATTTATGTAGCACTACTTAAAATTAACATAACAAATATATAAAACATTTTATAGATGTAATTATTATATGGTGTTGGAGTGCCACCTGTTTAGCTTATATAACAGTGCCTATACCAAACCAAGGTTGAGACATGATAGCTTGTTTAGTAATTATTATGTTTATGCACTATGTAGGATCAATGTTTAAGAATTTCTTGACTGTATGATGTGTTTAATATGGCAGCTTTTTGTAATGTCATATACTGTACAGATATACCTCGCCTTACATCGGTAATTGGTTCCAGGAGAGGCGACTTAAGTCAAAAAATGATGTAAGTCGAATTTACATGTCACTAGGCTAAACCACAAAAAACCATTCCCAGTTTCGTATTTTATTTATAAATAAATTTTTAATAATATATGGTTAATAAGAATCTATTTTAAGCTTACAAACAAATAAATTTTAGTTTTTAATATAGTACAGAAAAAAGTAATCTAAATTTACAAATTCACGTACGTACAGTACATTCTTGTAAATGTACATGTTTACAATTTGGCAATGTTTACAATACATCACAGACTCTTTATTTGTGAATGTGGTTTGCTCTAAGACATTATAAAATAAGATGATTTTGTAAGGTTAAATAACAAATACAGTAATACCCCGAACTTACACGATAGGTGGGACTGAACGATAACCGCGTAAGTCGGGGTATAATTTCGCAATTTGTGTAAAATCCAAGTCGGATGTATGTAAGCTAATAAATGTTCTTGTTAATCTTATCTCATCTTTTGATTCGTTCATGGTTACAAGAAATCACCACAGAGTCTCTCAAGTCTCCGTAGATATAACAAACACAGAAATAAATAACACAAAATAAATTGTAGCTATGCGTCAATTCTGCTTGACATGTCCAAACATGTAAGCTGAACAATAGTGTGGAGGAGCAAGTAATCAAGAGTTGCATGGCACTCAAACAAAAGACGAATCGACGAGATTTGAAAATCACGTAACTCCGGGTTTGTGTAAGTCGAGGTATTACTGTACAGTTATTAAAATTATCTTGCAGCAGTAGATAATAAACTAATTTATATTAAATTTACCAATATCGAGTGGCGCTGACATTGGCGCCAAACAGTAGACATTGGAGCTATTGTGGAAAACACCAATATTGAGCACTTAAAGACCGCTAAATAAGACGACAATACCGAAACACAAATGTTTTCATGTTTCATTCTCTAGGATTTATGATGATTATATTAACATTTACTGTAAATGTACATATTTTAATATGATTTTATGCACTTTAATGCTTTTATAGTGATATTACAACTTCAATATTTGTGGAGGATGGATGTAAAGTTGAATAAAATGACTTAAACTTGATTTTTATTTTTCCATATATTTTTTGACAAACGGCGTATAATTGAGAATGACGTAACTTGAGGTATACCTGTATATGCACATTACATGATATTACAAAAAGTAGCCATACTAATGTTAGAAAGTTAATATTCCTAGACTTTTGTGTAGTGTACGTAGTATAATCCCCATGCAAGAAAGAATTATTGAAATAATAAGGTACTTATTAATTTTATTATTAATGTAATAATAATAATAATAATAACTCTCCTGTGGTCACCACCTGGTCATGGTGGGAGAGCCCAGTAATTTTACTGATCCATAGGGCAATGCAGACTGGAGCACAAGCTCCTGGTAGGAACACCCATGCCAGTAAGGTCTGTGGGAAGAAATGAAGCTATGAGTGACCACACCCACATTCTGTGGAGATATTTATCATTGAAGTAACCAGATCAAAGTGTGATACCAGCTCGGACGTCTCCTGGGTTAACAAGGTCCACATTCGTGGGTTAGGCAGAGGCTCACATTCGAAAAATAGGCCACAGTCTCATTTGGTTACCTGTGGCAAAAGCAGCACCGGCCCAAGCATGGCTACTGCAATGCCCTCAACAGAAGTGAGGAATCAACTTAGCCTTGGTGTTTCTGTGGCAATGCATCCACAGACCACAAAGGCTGGAAAACCATGCCAACAGATGAAATGGACAACAGAAATTAACGAGTTTATCATCCGTACTTACTACACCATCACAAAACTCGAAACAAACATGACAGCATACAGACAACAACTACACCATAGATTCACACAACAATATCCTCACCTCACTGTCACCGAACAAAGGATTGTTAATCAAAAAAGAACAATTATACACAACAACGTTATCCCACATCACTTATCAAACAACAGGTTGCTGATCAAATACATCAACAGACAGAAACATTTAACATTATTAATGAAGCTCACGTAACCTGTCAGGGTAATCCAGCAACAAGCATTGATAATAGCACACATACAACAACTACCAGTAGTGATACTACAGGCACTTCCTCGTCCATCACTGATAACATAGACATAGAATTAGTTAATACACTCTCATTTATATTTCAGGAAACACTCACTAAATATACTGGTGCAGATCCCACACAAAGACCAAGAATACCAAAAATCAACATGTCAAAGGTAGTAGGAAAAACACTAAATTATGTAAACACTACATCCATTTAATTTCTACACTCTCAGACATTCATACGTTAGTTTATGCTGGGGCAGTCACAGTAGTGACACACCATGGACTGAAAATACAATTGCGGACAGACACACAAAAAACACAATTCTATCACAAGCCTGCTTGGCAGAGAATAATAGAAACACAAATAAATGACATTAGACAGCAATTAGGCAGGCTGACACAATACACTAAAAACAACAAACACCCAAATTAAAGAAACAACTCAAAAACATTTTCAGGAAAATCAAAACACACACAAAACATGAACATCAGTTTTGTACCACTGTGTACCATCAGTACCACTGTGCTGTGTATCAGTATCAAAACAAACATTGATACACAGCACAGTGGTACACCAACAGAAAAATAACTCACAATTTATTGGTCTTTTCTTTGGTCCAATGCTGTTACACACAATGCTGATGCAGGCTGGATTGAGGAGGAGAACAGAAACTTGCATAACATACCAACTGTGCCCTGTGCTGAAATAAATGTATACGACATTCGCTACTCTGTTAACAGAACATACAACTGGAAGACATCTGGTGTAGACAACATTCACAATTTCTGGTACAAAAAGTTTACATCACTGCACCAGAAACTAGCTAAACATCTAACACACATCATCATCAACCCACAAGACATGCAAAAATTTCTTACTCAGGGCATCACCTACATGAAACCTAAAAACAACAAAACCACAGACCCCACACAATACAGACCAATTACATGTCTTCCAACACTCTACAAATTATTGACATCGTGTATCACAAACAAAATATACAAACATGTTGAAGAACACGACATTCTTACAGAACAACAAAAAGGTTGCCGTAGAAATCACAGAAGATGCAAAGAACAATTACTCATAGATTCAGTCATTCTATGGCAAGCACACAAACAACACAGAAACATACACATGGCATATATAGACTACAGAAAAGCATTCGACAGTGTCCCACACAGTTGGCTGCTGCATATTCTACACATGTACAAAATACATCCATCACTCATTGCATTCTTCCAAAACACTATGCAGCACTGGAAAACAACACTACGTCTCAGGGTTAGTAACACTTCCATACAAACAAACAAAATATTCATTAGGCGAGGAATTTTTCAAGGAGATTCCTTAAGTCCTCTCTGGTTCTGCCTAGCCCTGAACCCATTATCCAACATGTTAAACAACACGCATTATGGCTACAATATCAGACATGTAAAAACAACACAGTTTACACTCTCACATCTCATGTACATGGACGACATAAAACTTTATGCATCCACACAGAAACAACTTCATCAACTCCTACAAATCACACATTCATACACCAAGGACATACAAATGGAGTTTGGCTTAGACAAATGCAAAAAACTACACATAGAAAAAGGAATCCTGAAGAAAGAAGATTTTGCACTTGGAAATGGAGGCGTTATTGAATCCATGGAAGAGGGCGAGTTCTACAATCAGGCCAAACTAACAGAACATACACAAATAAAGCAAAGATTAATTAAAGAATACCAAAGTAGGTTAAATGCTATTCTCAAAACACAGCTAAATGCAAAACACACAGTTAAAGCAATAAAGACATATGTCATCCCAGTACTCACATACTCTTTTAGAGTTATACATTGGACACTCACAGATCTCGAGCAACTCCAAAGGAAAACAAGAACAACACTTACTAAGCATAAACAACATCATCCTAAATCTGCTACAGAAAGGTTAACCCTTCCACGTAAAGATGGCAGACGTGGCCTGATTGACATAGTTAACCTTCACTACAAAGAAATACAGTCACTGCGAGAGTTTTTCTACAAGAAACAAGAAACATTACAATTACATAAAGCAGTAACACTAGCAGACTCAGATAACACACCCTAACATTTACACCCACAACACATGGATACAACACAACATATAAAAAGCACACACACCATTAAGCAATCATGGGTTGAAAAGGCACTCCATGGCAGGCATCCCTATGACTTGGCCCAGGATTTTGTTGACAAAACTGCATCAATCAGCTGGTTAGCTCGGGGNAGACAATATGCAAAGCTTTTTTTTCAGTTTATAGCAGTATTTATTACACAAAATTTAAGTAAAGCTTAACATGCCGATCTTGCCCCGATCTCCCCTAACTCCTCTGCGAAAACTGATTATACTAGGATTTCTTATATCAAGGGAAAAAAGTCACACACATTAAAAATTAAAATATAATTTAGAAAAAGTAATTGCTTACAAACAGAATTATTCTCATTTTCACTTTTATCTATTGTTAAAGTCATATGGCCAACTATAAAATATAATTTAGAAAAAATATTTGCTTACAAACAGAATTATTCTCATTTTCACTTTTATCTATTGTTAAAGTCATATGGCCAACAATATGAATTAATTGGTAAGTTACTACTTCTGAACGAGGTTGACATCTTTCTCTAATCCTACAGTAAAATGAACACCTATCTGAATTTATTTTACCTGTAAAATATAAAAAAAATTATTAGAGAAAAATCATACTTTATAAAAAATTTAATAAAGTAATAATTGCTATTTTTTAAAATAAATAATTGTTAATCATTAATAATTATTAGTCTTTCAAATAATAATAAAAGTTTAAAAAATATAGTAATCTAATATAAACACATATGCACAAATCAGAACCTTTCATATTAATGGATCAGGACCTGTAATGAAAATGGTATTGGAGAATTAATAGCCTTTGCTATTAATTTATTGATAAATTTGTTTAGTTTTAGGATAAAACTTATTAAATTACTGGGAGATGATTATAGACAATTGATATATACAGGATGTTTCACAATGCTTTGATGATTTCAAAGTTGAATAACTCACATTAAAACAGAGATACAGCAACGGTAGCACCCTCTATTAGTAGTGCGGACTGTCAACTTTTATCTCATATAGGTTACTATGTAGTATCATGGCGTACTGGTTGAAACAACATTGTGCATTCTTGGTAGAGTGCTATTTTCGCATCAGCGAATCTGTTGTGNAACAGAGATACAGCAACGGTAGCACCCTCTATTAGTAGTGCGGACTGTCAACTTTTATCTCATATAGGTTACTATGTAGTATCATGGCGTACTGGTTGAAGCAACATTGTGCAGAGATACAGCAACGGTAGCACCCTCTATTAGTAGTGCGGACTGTCAACTTTTATCTCATATAGGTTACTATGTAGTATCATGGCGTACTGGTTGAAACAACATTGTGCATTCTTGGTAGAGTGCTATTTTCGCATCAGCGAATCTGTTGTGCGCATGCAACATGAATTTCGTAAATTTTTTTAAAATTCAGCAGCTATATCCAATTCCTGCTTGTGGAACAATATTGAATTGGGTAAGAAATTTCCGTGAAACTGCCAGTGCATCAAATTGAAAGTCAATTGGCCATAGAAAGACCGTAAGAACTCCTTGAGAACATCCGTAATTTCCAAATGTGCTCATTTTGAATGGCTACCTCACTCATCTTATTTAACCCTGCCATACTTTTACTTATGTGGTAATTTAAAGGTGAGAGTGTACTCTGACTGGCCAAGAAGCTTGGAACAATTAAGAGATCAAATTTGAGATGAAATTTCCAGAATTCCTCCAGCAGGTACGAAAAACGTGTTCAAAAAATGGGTGAAACGCATCGAGTCTTGTGTAGCCGCGAATGATCATCATTTGTCTGGTGAGGATCCAAATCCAGATGTTCAGTATGTTTATATCATAATCTCCTAACATCACATCGTAGCTATACTTTCGTTAAATAACTGTCAACTTTTACACCTGGGAGCAAAACATCTGTTAAGTTCTCATGCCTGGTAACAATGCTTTCTCATCATCTCTCGACCTAATATCTCAATTTCATCGGTTCAACAATGAAAAAATCAAGTAACTAAGACAGTCATCGCCCATCCTTCGAAAGGAGTCAGTGTCATCTGTACCTTGTCCTAAGTGCCTCAATATTAGGATATCTGTGAATATATCATTTTATTTTACATTCTTATATCCTACTAAAATATCATCAGAAACCATCGTCTAACACCTTTGCGGATACTGTATGTTCCATCAGGCTCACGGATATTTCATCTACAGGATACCCAAACTGACATCCCGAACTTCCTCTCTGTCACAAAAAACGTTCGAGATCAAGACCAGATTCTCAATAAGGTATTTATCGTCACGTGTTTTTGCTGTAAACTCTCTCTCTCGGAAAACACAGGTCTTGAGTTACCTCAGTCTAATATCTACAAAATGGCTATCATTTCTCATATACCTAAATCTATCATATTCCACTTGGTCTATGATATGTCCTGTATTATCTATGTTACCAATTAAACAGTTATTACGTTAACTCGTCTCTGCGTAAGTCACTTCCGGTGCGTTGTCTCTCCCTCCATCCCGAATCCATTCACTCACACACGCGATTGTGTGTGTGAGAACATAATGGTTTCCGTGTCTGTCCATAAAGACACAGTAGTGTCAGTCCTGACGAACCTTGTCATTGCGATCTTCACCAACACAATGTCGACCTTTCAGTCCCGTGGTGCCGAAGTATAGGGGGACCCTTCAGCATTGTCACAAGTAAAATTGAATAAATTTTATACCTTGTGTAAAATTTTCAACTTTTTTTAGTGATTAGTTTGTGAGTTATTCAACTTTGAAATAGTCAAAACATTGTGAAACACCCTGTACAAAACTTTTACAAATTAATAATACTTCAGTTTTTGGAGCAATAGCCTGTTATAATTAAAAGACTATTAAATAACACTGGACTGTCCTCCTATAGCTATATGTATTTTTAAATTGGGAGTTTGTTCCTTCTGGATTGTGATCAACAACTAAGAGACTTATATTAATCACAAGATGTTCATTATTTGAGTGGATAGGGTTGTGACTCTGAACCTTTCCTTAATGGAATATTTATTATCTAATTTGAGTTATAAAATAAAGTCATCGGCTGTATACAATTTAGATTAAACAGGTTTTAATAAACTTAAATGGTAAAATGATTAATATCTCATGTGATGCTGAGTGTTCTTTATGTGAAATGACAGTGATGAATATAAGGAAACATCTTGATTCTTGTAAATTACTTTCAAATATTCAAACTTCTATACTGGCACCTGATTTATATCGTCAAATTTTATTTGGTGACAGTTTCTTCATGTTCACATCATATAAACTGTATAAATTTTTTGTTCATATATCAAATAATAAAGTTAATTGATTGATTGATTAATAAAAGTTAAATTATCACATATTATTAGATAAATAAAACAAGAGAAATTCTTTCATCCAGTACCACTTTGCATTTTCTTCACTTAATATAATTTTATCTCAAATATTCTATTTTTTTCAATGAGTGTATTAATTTTTCTATATAAAAACTGGAACATTTATGCACAAGGTTGAAAATACCAGTTTCCCAAAAGTCCATTTTTTGGGCCAAATAGGTGGTAGTTGCTAGGCACTAGATCACAGCTGTAAGGAAGATGTGGCAAAAATGGCCATAGGCAAAAATGTTTTCTGCAATATTCTATGTGTGTGGCCAGATTTTTGCTCATTGCATAGGCTCCAAATTAAAACAAATGTAATATCAATAAAAAGAAATGGCATTACCATTTGAAACACCTTTATACATTTACAAGGAATCACTAAGGGAATAAAACAAGAAAGATAGAGGAAAAAAATGAAATGTCTGAAATTTTCTAAACTGTATACAGGTTACATGACATGTTTTCAATGGCAACTTCAAAGTGGTGGAGTATTTGGCAATGCAAGTTATGCAATGCAACATTTTTGTTTGTTCTAATAATATGCTCTGCATAGATGACACTAGTGCAGGGGTGGCCAACAGTTTTTGCCCCTGGGCCGAATTGGAAAGAAAACTTTTTCCATGGGCCGAACCAGAGGCTGCTCTAGGAAGATTTTGAGGTGGTGCGAGATCTCATTGTGGTGTCATCCCATAGAGACTAAATTGTACATAGAGATTACAGATACATTTTTCACATTATCATGCTTTATCAACATTCTACGCTGTACTTAAGAGATTTGTAATGGAGGGTTAATTCTAAATGCACAGTGAGTTTCTTTCTTAAATGACTTTCTTTTTTAGGCGTCAGAATTTTTCATCGAGCTATTCGTACTTGAGTAACTAATATTGAAACATTAATCGTGGGCCAGATAAATTCATTAGACAGGCTGTATGTTGGCCATGCCTGCACTAGCGTTATATATAGGAAATTATAGTAATTTAGCTGTTTCTGAATTGAAAATTTAAAACCACTGTAATTTAAAATGTTTTTAATGATTTTTCAAGATTTATTTATTTATTTTTGCTAATATAGAAAAATGTTATCTATGCAATATCAGAATTTATGTAAAGAACTAATACCTTACTCAATTTTTGTTTTTCAAATACAATGGGGTCTTGCTAGAATGAACATAATCAGTTCCAGAACCTTGTTTGTTATAGCATCTGTTCATTCTAGCATTCATTGAAATATGTGTATTTATGTGTAATCCATTCCAAGCCTTGAGTAAACTTACCATGTCACATAAACATTTAAACAGAAAAAATAAAATACAAAAATCAAAAATATAACTGTAAAAATAATATAAAATTAATTAATTTAAAACCCCTTAAGCCCCAAGCCCGTGATATCTCGGGCAAGTTACATAGCGTTACGAAAAACTCGGTCGTTAAGGCCACTTTTGAAATTTGTTTTTTTGGAATGTTTTTTAGGTCTCCAAATTTTTTCAAAAATTTTTACCCGCGCGAAAAAATTTTATCGCGATTTAATCAACCTTTAATGATGTACGATTAACGCTTAATTGTTTTATAATGGGATTTTGATATCAAATTTCATTCATTGTTCTAAAATTGTATTGCACGGATTTTACTTCAGTAAAGTTATTTAAAGCTACTTTCTGATATCAAAAACAACCTCCAATAGTTTTTTAATTTTTTTAATTAATAGATTTTATTATATATAAGTTTAATTAAGTCGGGGGGTTGGAAATCGCAATAAAAATTTTAATTTTTTTAAAATATTTAAAAATATACGGCCAACTAGTATTCACCCTACTATAAACCCATTGCCTCCCGAGACTTCTGAGAATGTCCCGGGAAATCCAACTCCAGCTGTTCTCAAGGTCATCCAGCTGTGTAAACAATGACTCATCAGTGTCAAATTTCACAGAAAGGCGAGACAAAGGAAAATAAAATTTGAAGCTTTTTCTTCAAAATTAACCATTTCTTTTGTTTTTTACAGTTTTAAGTATTTTTTATGTTTAATTACATTAATATCAAAAATTGCTCGAGGCTTAAGGAGTTAACTTGTTTAGATGGACTGCGTGGAATATTTTAAATAAAGTTGTTAATTCTTTCTTACAAGTTAGTGTTAAATTAAAATGAAAAATGATCTCTTGGCCAGCACACAGCAGGATGATGTAAGAATAATGGACTTTTTTATACCCAATATAGTTTTCCTGGAATTAGCGGCACTATTGATGAAAAGCATGTGGCTATTAAGACAATTGAAGAAGCAGTAGCCTATTTCAATAGAAATAAGTATTACTCTGTCATCATATAAGTTTAGTTTGTAATGAAAAAAATGGTATTCAAATGATACAATTTCTCGAGAAGTCATTTCCCATATGTAAGTGAAAATTCATTCAAGTATACAAACTTATGTAATTTTGGATTATTATTAATGCTGTTCATTTCTTTACGATTTATTTAATGCTCTGAACATAACATTTCTGAAGATTCCAAATGCGTATTAGGTAAACCTCACTTTTAATCATAAACAATGAATCGAACTTAATTTTTTTCACATTAATTAACTCTGTTTATGAAAAAAATCATCTAAAGCTATTGAACCTTACAATGAAAAAAAAAAATTGTAAACATTTTACACTACAAATAATTGAAATTTACCAATAAAAATATTTTCTGCCGTTTATTTTTCGAAAATGAATTCCATTTTTAGTACTTTGTACAGAAAGTAATTTTTTCATGAGAGCAGCCATATTGAATTAGCGCAAAGCTCGACAACGAACTAGCTAGCACTCCGAGCTTACCAATTTCGCTAAACATGACGTCACATAGCTCTAAAGTAAACGCCAATGAGCGTGGCACTAGGACGAAAGTATACAGGCTGAAAGTGCTGATAGTAAAATTAGCTCAGAAGTAAATGCACCCTATAGTAATCATTATAAACTTCAAAATAATTTCTGGTATATGCAAATTTTATAAGATCAATTAGTGTTTTATCTATTTGTAGTTGTATTAGGCTGTTTTCTATTAATTTCCACTTTATATTTGGGTACATATTTTTTACATCTAAACTAATTAATGTATCTGATTTTTCTTTTTTTATTTTTTGGATGTTATTAATGACTTCATCAGCATTTTTAATGCTATTGATGGAACCTTTAATGTTTTTTAATTGCTGTTTAATATAGTTTTCTAGATTGTAAAGTATAGAGTATCTAAAATCAACTATTGGTCTGTATTTCTCTTCCTCTTTATGTGTTTATAGTCTTATTTGTAATTTTGGAGTCCTATTATTTTTAAAATTAAGAATGTAATTTTTATCAGTTTCATTAATTTTGTTCTTTAAATATGCGTCTTTAATTATTTTAGTTAATTCTTTTTTGATTTTCTCATATGGATTTATATCAAGTTTTATATATTGATCATTTAATATTGAATTTAATAGATGTTGATATTATCTGTCTGTAATGTCTGGTGACATAAAATATTAAAGTAAAATATATTGTAAAAGTGTGAATGTATCCTCTTAAGTGTGTTAATAGTAATTAACCTGAAAAAAACGTTCATTATTGCTGCAACATTTCAATAAAGTGCATACGAATTTTTCTTGAAAAAAGTTGTAATTGTAAAGGTTTTTATGAACATTTGTAAAGTGTGCAACGTATTAATGTGAATATGTAGTTGAAGTGTTTTTTAAATGGCTGTATTTTTATTCTTTTACAACGTTACCAATTATACACCGAGGTTTTTAGAAAACAGAATCTGAGGTAACGTATATTGTTTAATAGTTTTATGTCAGTAAATATTATCTACACGCAAAGAATTTTCTGTAATCTCACTAATTGTACATAATTTTTAAGTAATTGTATATAAAATTTTTAAACAGTTTGTACTGAAGAGGGACTTAAATCACAATTGAGTCCGAAATGCATATGACAAATCAATAAAGGAAGTTCATAACCTAAATGCTGTATATGATAGTCTACCGAACTGAAAATCGGATTAAAGAGACAAATTCACAACTTTCTAAACAGTCTCTAGAAATAAATTAACTCCTAGAGATTGAAAAAGTCTATATATTTTAATTGAATAAAAAGTTACTTCCTCTAGAAAAATCAAGATTTTTAGGTTATAAATAGAAATACACTATTTGAAACATATGCTTACATAAAATATTACATAAAATAGTAATCCTAAAGTGCATTAATGCTTTCAAATATTAAAATTTTATATAATGAATTACCCTTTTGTTCATTTGTTACCATCACAAGTTTTTCTAATTGATTTTGAACTGTTTCTATGTCAGCTGGATGAACAAAGGAAAGTAAGGAATGCCCTATCATCTCAATCTGTGGGAGAAAAAATATATTGTTAATTTTGTTATATTAAGCATTAATTTCATAATTATATTACTGAAATAAATTATTGGGTTAATAAAGTTTTAATACATATCACTGTAATCATTAAACAATATAAATTATAAGTTCTTTTAAAGTTTTTATTGTCAGTTTTAGAATCAAAATTTTTATGTAATAATTTCAATTTTACAGAATTCATTCTCATTTAATTAGTTTTTCTAACAAACAGAATCTTAAATAAACCTACACTTAAGAAAAAATTTTCATTTTACAAATTTTTCAAATAAATTCAATAACATTGATCTTATTTGTGCATTTATCTTAGTACTGAATGGAAGTACTAAGATACACACACAAATCACCAAAAAACTGGCAATGAAAAAGAAATTTAATGTAAAAACCTTTGAATAGCCTTCTTCAGGTTTGTAAAATCAAACAGAATATCAAATACATTTTAAAATTAGAAAAAAATCAAAAAATTATTATTGCTTTTATGTTTGTTTAGTTCATTTCATTTGTTTCTACCATTCACATCACTCGCATGCCAGGTTCCATGTGCTCGACATTTTTTGTTTGTTCTGGTTTTTTCAATAGCATTTTCATGAAAATAGAAAAAATTATAATTCCAAAAAATTTATTATTAAAGAAATGATAAAATTAACATTACTAATAAGAAAACAATATTATACTTATTTTANAGATACAGCAACGGTAGCACCCTCTATTAGTAGTGCGGACTGTCAACTTTTATCTCATATAGGTTACTATGTAGTATCATGGCGTACTGGTTGAAACAACATTGTGCATTCTTGGTAGAGTGCTATTTTCGCATCAGCGAATCTGTTGTGCGCATGCAACATGAATTTCGTAAATTTTTTTAAAATTCAGCAGCTATATCCAATTCCTGCTTGTGGAACAATATTGAATTGGGTAAGAAATTTCCGTGAAACTGCCAGTGCATCAAATTGAAAGTCAATTGGCCATAGAAAGACCGTAAGAACTCCTTGAGAACATCCGTAATTTCCAAATGTGCTCATTTTGAATGGCTACCTCACTCATCTTATTTAACCCTGCCATACTTTTACTTATGTGGTAATTTAAAGGTGAGAGTGTACTCTGACTGGCCAAGAAGCTTGGAACAATTAAGAGATCAAATTTGAGATGAAATTTCCAGAATTCCTCCAGCAGGTACGAAAAACGTGTTCAAAAAATGGGTGAAACGCATCGAGTCTTGTGTAGCCGCGAATGATCATCATTTGTCTGGTGAGGATCCAAATCCAGATGTTCAGTATGTTTATATCATAATCTCCTAACATCACATCGTAGCTATACTTTCGTTAAATAACTGTCAACTTTTACACCTGGGAGCAAAACATCTGTTAAGTTCTCATGCCTGGTAACAATGCTTTCTCATCATCTCTCGACCTAATATCTCAATTTCATCGGTTCAACAATGAAAAAATCAAGTAACTAAGACAGTCATCGCCCATCCTTCGAAAGGAGTCAGTGTCATCTGTACCTTGTCCTAAGTGCCTCAATATTAGGATATCTGTGAATATATCATTTTATTTTACATTCTTATATCCTACTAAAATATCATCAGAAACCATCGTCTAACACCTTTGCGGATACTGTATGTTCCATCAGGCTCACGGATATTTCATCTACAGGATACCCAAACTGACATCCCGAACTTCCTCTCTGTCACAAAAAACGTTCGAGATCAAGACCAGATTCTCAATAAGGTATTTATCGTCACGTGTTTTTGCTGTAAACTCTCTCTCTCGGAAAACACAGGTCTTGAGTTACCTCAGTCTAATATCTACAAAATGGCTATCATTTCTCATATACCTAAATCTATCATATTCCACTTGGTCTATGATATGTCCTGTATTATCTATGTTACCAATTAAACAGTTATTACGTTAACTCGTCTCTGCGTAAGTCACTTCCGGTGCGTTGTCTCTCCCTCCATCCCGAATCCATTCACTCACACACGCGATTGTGTGTGTGAGAACATAATGGTTTCCGTGTCTGTCCATAAAGACACAGTAGTGTCAGTCCTGACGAACCTTGTCATTGCGATCTTCACCAACACAATGTCGACCTTTCAGTCCCGTGGTGCCGAAGTATAGGGGGACCCTTCAGCATTGTCACAAGTAAAATTGAATAAATTTTATACCTTGTGTAAAATTTTCAACTTTTTTTAGTGATTAGTTTGTGAGTTATTCAACTTTGAAATAGTCAAAACATTGTGAAACACCCTGTACAAAACTTTTACAAATTAATAATACTTCAGTTTTTGGAGCAATAGCCTGTTATAATTAAAAGACTATTAAATAACACTGGACTGTCCTCCTATAGCTATATGTATTTTTAAATTGGGAGTTTGTTCCTTCTGGATTGTGATCAACAACTAAGAGACTTATATTAATCACAAGATGTTCATTATTTGAGTGGATAGGGTTGTGACTCTGAACCTTTCCTTAATGGAATATTTATTATCTAATTTGAGTTATAAAATAAAGTCATCGGCTGTATACAATTTAGATTAAACAGGTTTTAATAAACTTAAATGGTAAAATGATTAATATCTCATGTGATGCTGAGTGTTCTTTATGTGAAATGACAGTGATGAATATAAGGAAACATCTTGATTCTTGTAAATTACTTTCAAATATTCAAACTTCTATACTGGCACCTGATTTATATCGTCAAATTTTATTTGGTGACAGTTTCTTCATGTTCACATCATATAAACTGTATAAATTTTTTGTTCATATATCAAATAATAAAGTTAATTGATTGATTGATTAATAAAAGTTAAATTATCACATATTATTAGATAAATAAAACAAGAGAAATTCTTTCATCCAGTACCACTTTGCATTTTCTTCACTTAATATAATTTTATCTCAAATATTCTATTTTTTTCAATGAGTGTATTAATTTTTCTATATAAAAACTGGAACATTTATGCACAAGGTTGAAAATACCAGTTTCCCAAAAGTCCATTTTTTGGGCCAAATAGGTGGTAGTTGCTAGGCACTAGATCACAGCTGTAAGGAAGATGTGGCAAAAATGGCCATAGGCAAAAATGTTTTCTGCAATATTCTATGTGTGTGGCCAGATTTTTGCTCATTGCATAGGCTCCAAATTAAAACAAATGTAATATCAATAAAAAGAAATGGCATTACCATTTGAAACACCTTTATACATTTACAAGGAATCACTAAGGGAATAAAACAAGAAAGATAGAGGAAAAAAATGAAATGTCTGAAATTTTCTAAACTGTATACAGGTTACATGACATGTTTTCAATGGCAACTTCAAAGTGGTGGAGTATTTGGCAATGCAAGTTATGCAATGCAACATTTTTGTTTGTTCTAATAATATGCTCTGCATAGATGACACTAGTGCAGGGGTGGCCAACAGTTTTTGCCCCTGGGCCGAATTGGAAAGAAAACTTTTTCCATGGGCCGAACCAGAGGCTGCTCTAGGAAGATTTTGAGGTGGTGCGAGATCTCATTGTGGTGTCATCCCATAGAGACTAAATTGTACATAGAGATTACAGATACATTTTTCACATTATCATGCTTTATCAACATTCTACGCTGTACTTAAGAGATTTGTAATGGAGGGTTAATTCTAAATGCACAGTGAGTTTCTTTCTTAAATGACTTTCTTTTTTAGGCGTCAGAATTTTTCATCGAGCTATTCGTACTTGAGTAACTAATATTGAAACATTAATCGTGGGCCAGATAAATTCATTAGACAGGCTGTATGTTGGCCATGCCTGCACTAGCGTTATATATAGGAAATTATAGTAATTTAGCTGTTTCTGAATTGAAAATTTAAAACCACTGTAATTTAAAATGTTTTTAATGATTTTTCAAGATTTATTTATTTATTTTTGCTAATATAGAAAAATGTTATCTATGCAATATCAGAATTTATGTAAAGAACTAATACCTTACTCAATTTTTGTTTTTCAAATACAATGGGGTCTTGCTAGAATGAACATAATCAGTTCCAGAACCTTGTTTGTTATAGCATCTGTTCATTCTAGCATTCATTGAAATATGTGTATTTATGTGTAATCCATTCCAAGCCTTGAGTAAACTTACCATGTCACATAAACATTTAAACAGAAAAAATAAAATACAAAAATCAAAAATATAACTGTAAAAATAATATAAAATTAATTAATTTAAAACCCCTTAAGCCCCAAGCCCGTGATATCTCGGGCAAGTTACATAGCGTTACGAAAAACTCGGTCGTTAAGGCCACTTTTGAAATTTGTTTTTTTGGAATGTTTTTTAGGTCTCCAAATTTTTTCAAAAATTTTTACCCGCGCGAAAAAATTTTATCGCGATTTAATCAACCTTTAATGATGTACGATTAACGCTTAATTGTTTTATAATGGGATTTTGATATCAAATTTCATTCATTGTTCTAAAATTGTATTGCACGGATTTTACTTCAGTAAAGTTATTTAAAGCTACTTTCTGATATCAAAAACAACCTCCAATAGTTTTTTAATTTTTTTAATTAATAGATTTTATTATATATAAGTTTAATTAAGTCGGGGGGTTGGAAATCGCAATAAAAATTTTAATTTTTTTAAAATATTTAAAAATATACGGCCAACTAGTATTCACCCTACTATAAACCCATTGCCTCCCGAGACTTCTGAGAATGTCCCGGGAAATCCAACTCCAGCTGTTCTCAAGGTCATCCAGCTGTGTAAACAATGACTCATCAGTGTCAAATTTCACAGAAAGGCCAGACAAAGGAAAATAAAATTTGAAGCTTTTTCTTCAAAATTAACCATTTCTTTTGTTTTTTACAGTTTTAAGTATTTTTTATGTTTAATTACATTAATATCAAAAATTGCTCGAGGCTTAAGGAGTTAACTTGTTTAGATGGACTGCGTGGAATATTTTAAATAAAGTTGTTAATTCTTTCTTACAAGTTAGTGTTAAATTAAAATGAAAAATGATCTCTTGGCCAGCACACAGCAGGATGATGTAAGAATAATGGACTTTTTTATACCCAATATAGTTTTCCTGGAATTAGCGGC